AAAGAGTGTCCATTTTGTATATAAAAGAAACAATGTAAGTTTCCAGATGACCTGTAAATTACAGTGGGTAAATTTAGGGAAGGGACTGGACTATTTTGAAACATGATAGCGGTCTTTAAAATGCAATCTTAGCAACATAGGAAGGTCTTAATGTGGTGGGTTTTTTTTTTTTTTTCATTTACCCCACTTGCCTTTTGCTTAATCTACGGAGGCTCAAGGTGCCATTTTTGCTGGCTGAGGAAACATGACAGAACTGCTGATCACATTTATGACAGCAGTACGTAAGGACCAATCAAGAATGGGATTGGCTCTGCCACTCATTGCACAAACAGAACGGGGAGTCTCTGGCCAGTCTAAATCTTCTCTGACATTGGTATGGGGGAAGGACAAGCAGCAGAAACAGATCAGACAAGGCAGCGACAGCACATCTGAAGAAACACAGAAAGGGAAAAGACTGATTGTGAGAACACTGAATAGAAAAGGAAGGTAAAAGGCAGGCATTCTATACTTTTTTTTCCCCTACCCATCCACATTCAAGAAATGTAATCTTTTATACAAAATCATGCTACTGAAACTCACCTTTCAGATATGTTTATAAAGAGCTCTCTAGGCTTTGTGGCTGCAGTAACAATCTTCAAAACAGACTAACTGTAACAGATTCAGTTTTCTTGTTGGTAGCAAAGGAATATTGGCTTTCAGGTGCCAAAATTGTTCCACCTAATAACTGAAAACTAAAAGACCCTAATCCCTTCAACCCCTGGTATCCCTTTTAAAAATAACATCGTTAGTTGTTTCATACTTGACCATTTTAACAGAAACATACAGTAAATCCAACAAAGTGCCAAAACCATGAACCATTCCCTAATGGAACTATCTCAGATACCAGCTTCCATTCTGGTAGTTTATTCAAAATGGTTTTGCATTGTTAGGACAACCTTGCACAGAAATTGAAAAGTGAGGATCATGATGTTTTTTTTGAATGATTTTAAAAAGAAATGGATGCTGCCCTGAATAAACTGTTTATTTTTGTATCACATATAGTGCATTACTTTAAAACCTTTTATTAATTGTGTCAGGAATTGCGCTGGCATGTCCTAGTTATAAGAACTTGGTCACCGAATAAATCGGTACTTGGAACACAACACTCCAGAAGGCCACCATATGAAAGGGCAAGAGGAACATGGAATCCACAGATCGGTTTATGATATCCCTGGAGGCTGCTTCAGATGATACGTGAAGGCCTGATATAGCTTGCAGATTAGAATTCCCTGTTCTGTTTCAAAAAGCAAAAACTAGGAACCTTCCAAAAGGTGAATTCAGATTCTCAAATAGCCATTTTTGTCTTACTGTTGGTTTTGATCACCAGATTTCTTTGCTAGATAATGCTATACTGTTATCACAGAACTAACTGGTTATTCCTTTAACCTCAGGTTTTGGCACAATTTTAAGTTTCGGTACATTCTTCAAATTGTGTAGACTGTATCATCACAAAAATTTGGGCTTGTCATACTGACTTTCCGGACTCTCATTTTTCATGCTTAATACCTTTATGATTAAGCTGCAAACAAGTGTTAGATTACAGTTTCGTGCGATTGGGGCAGAAGAGGAAGTTACTAAGGCAAGGGAAACACATTTCAGCAAGACACCATAAATAATTTCTGAAGTAAATCTAGTGTCCACAGAAAGTGACTCATTGGCTTATACTTTTTGACTCAAAGATGAACTACTCTTGAGTAGGACTGCCAGTGCTCTTGTGCTATTTTCAGCACAGGCCTATGAATGGACTGCAGTATTCGTGAGAGCAGGAGATGCTTACTGCATGAGAGGTCAAATCATGGGAGTCTTTTTATCGACTGAGAGATAAAGGTGAGAATTTAATTTGCTAAACAGTTTCACACACACTGTAAAATCTTCTACCATTTTCATTATTTACAAGAAGCATCAACACAGATGAGAAACTCCTAATGCAGATCTCAGCAACATCAAAACTGGCAGGCTTGAGAGTACTTCTGAGTTCTGGTGACAGTTAAGCTCCCTGCTTCCATTCTGTCCCATTCAGGGGTGACATCCAGATGTGTGGTAGCCCTCCAGTCCTCTTTCCATTCAGATGCCTTTATTTGCTTGGAAAGAGACTGACTATACTGATGGGAAGGAAACCTTCGTGCATGCCAGATCCCTAGCCTGGACAACTGTGGGCCAGTATGCTAGGCTGTGCTGAGGCATGTACACAGCTGCTCCTACGGACATAGCTACAAAGGCCTTTACATAAGCTCCTGTTTTATAGACATCCCTACTTCCTACTCCAAGATGTTTTTGTTTTGTTTTGTTTTGTTTTAAAAAAGCAGCAAGTTCTTCAGTTCCCAGTGCTGTCTTAAATCACCAGCTAGGAACTGTTACATACAGAGAGGATTGTATTGGAACCCTTTCTCTTGGCAAAGAATTATCTGGCTCCTTATTAATTTAACTCTGCTTATTTTAAGTTCACATGGAATTGCTTTTAAACCCCTCCAGGTATTTTGGTACAGTATTTCTTTAATCTCAACAGCACTGAGATACCCTGAAGAGCAGTTTGCGCTCTTTCATATGTTTTGAGGACGTGCATAGTCAAAGTCATAAAGCATTGCTGAAGAGACACTAACGGCCCAGGGGCACAAGCAGAACAGTTCCATGCAACACCTACCCAGAAGAACCTTTGTTCAACCTTCACCTGGTTAAAATTTTGCGATCTGAAAAAAGAAAATGGAAGAAAAGGGGAAAGGGAAGGGATGGCAGGTAATTATACAACTGAATTGCCAAGCATCCCAAGGACAACATTACAATTTGCTCTTGCATTGTAAGTTATCGGAACAAATCTAATTTCTTTAGACACATAGTTCATGAGTCTATTTAAGAAGTCTCTTGAGGGAAACAACTGAAAAACACAAGTGCAAAAAAATCCACGTATAGTAACTATAAAACAGCTGAAAGTTTTCATAGATTATTTCTCTGCAACTAATGAAGGGTCTTTTAGTATACACGATAGCATAGTTTTTAAAGCTTTTTAGATCTTTGTATATTCTATAAATGGTGTACTATAGGACTTATGGTTAAAATATTCTATGTTTGATCATGTAACGGATCTTGGGCCCTTAATTTCCTAATGCAAGGTGAGGGTGTGTGTATAAATGCGTGTAACACACAAGTATATAGAGATATGTATATGTGTGTGCATATATATCTATGCATGTATGAATCTAGATGTATCAAACATGCAAAATACCCAGTGGAGTAGAACAGAGACAGTTTGCCTGTTTACTGGGCAATGAGCAATGCAGTTAAAACTACTTTCTTCCTCCTCCTATACAAAAGTAAATTTGGTTTTTTAAGATTTCAAAATAAAGTAGCTTGTAGCTATTTGGAGCCTAGAAGATCTCAGCAGAACTAAAAATCTTAAAGTGATACAGCTGTTTAAAATCACTCTCTCTACATTTTATTTTTCTCCAGTCCTTGAATACATTACAGCAAGTCTTCAGCAGTACCTGCTGCTAAAGCAGCTAGTTCCCTAAAGTTGAGACTTGAGATGGTATAAAAGCATGGTGTGAAGGGCTGATCAAATCTTGTGCTTGTCACTATTAAATTCCATCCAAACAAATATGTATGCTTGACAAGGTAAAATCATTCTCTAAAAAAGAAATGGAAACATTCCCCTAACCAAGCAATCAAACTTCAAAATGAAAATCCAAAATACATTCATGTATGCACCCTTGTTACATCCCAAAGAAAAGCTTCAGTTTGGTAGACAATCATGAACAGAGGGCTTCCAGGAGAATGCAAACTGTTACATGTTACAGTGGTAAGTACCGACTCGTGTATGTGTGTCTGTGTCTCTCCGCCACACTTGTCTTTCAGGATTATGGAAGTACACTTCAGTTTTGTGCAAATGCAATTTTTTGTTTCTTGTTAATGCACTTTAATGTAATGTGTACATTTATACTTAGATTTTTTAAAATGCTTTTCTAGTAAACTGTTGCAAATGTTTGTGAATAAATATTTATTTATCAAAAAATATTTATTTATCAAAAACTGTAGGTGTGAGAAAATAAGCTTAGAAAAAATAACTTTAACACCCAGATTTGGAAATTCGGCTTCGTTTGCAAATGCTCAAATAGCTACACAGAAGCAGAATGCTTTTAGAGAGGAAAGTAAGAGGTGACACTGAGCTGACAGGCTGCCAGAATGTTATATGGGCAAGGGGATTGCTTTTGCCATGACTCACAGTTTGGCCAATTCCAAAATGGAAACAGGCTCCTGCTATAAATGATCCTGAAGACTATTCTGAAGCATCAAGTAACTTAAAATAATAGCTATTAATTTTGTGGTATTCCATGTAGAAATTATTGTTCTTGTCTTCTGAAGAGTGCTCCAGGTTTTGTCTGCAGGTAGTTTTATGAGCTACTATGACTTAAAAAGCCCTAAATATTTTGCGTACTGACCTGCCAGCCAGCTGCCTTTATTGTCAAGTGATGCTCTTTAGAACTTGAAATCTCTCAAGAAAACAGTCTAACAATACATTTATGGTGGGTTTTTTTGGATCCTATGGTACTCCAAGGTATAATCTCAAGGCTACACTCAATTCAATCAAAAGTACAGTCTCTTCAATGTAACAAGAGCTACATTTTGCTATCTACAAGATACCTAGGAAGGCTCACACCTCTTTATGCCTAATTCTGTCTGTGGAGAAATTTTGGAGAAATCTCTCTCAGCTTAAAAAGTTTCTCTGTATCATTATACCGAAAAGATCATAGGCCTAGCTTACATAAAACCCCATGTTTGAATAAACATATTACCACCTTTTTTATGCTGGTTTAGTTAAATTAGCAAGACTTAAGGTGTAATCAAATGCTTTGCTACCCCACTGGCTCAATCAAGCCATATGCTGCTACAGGAATGAATGCTACTGGGTGGACTGAAATGACAGAATTTATTAGCATGTAGTCAGCACATCCTTGTGACAGAAAACCAAAGAGTTTATCTTTGCCTCTGGTACTCTTTGAGTCTGAAAGAAAGGAGTAAGGCCATTCACTGTGGAGGAAAATGGGCATGACCTGAGTTGCACAGATGTTCTTCCTTGCTGCTTGACCTGTTGAAGGAAGGTGACCCACCAATATTTGAAGAGTAAACAGCTTTGACAATAGCAGAGGCACTGCATATGAGAAGCAACGGCTTTGGAAAATATTATTTTAGCAGCCTTCTCAATGCTTCTGGAATAGAGCTCATCTTTGTGCCAGTAGGAAAAAGGCACACCTACTGCAAAAGTAGTGCTCTTAAAAGCATCTTGCTCGTGACACAGTCTGTGAGATCAGCAGTTCTGCATCTGTCTGAGAAAGTATGGAAAGTTAGAGGCAGACAGAATAAAAAGCAACTTACCTCTAGTTACACGCTGTTTGTTCCTTGACTGATCTCAATACCTGCTTCATCATCTCGGCAACATTCCAGCTGGCAACTGTCCTCACTATCCCTAGATGAATGCTTCGGAGCAGTAAGAAATGAAGATAGCTCTTGCTCTTCTAACTCTTCATTTACTACTGTTTCAGCAGTTTAAAGCCTTTCACTGGAAAACTCTGAATCCAATGAAGAAGCGTATCTAGATTTTCGTATTTAAAATTCTTACAATAGCAAAAGACTTCAGTCGTGATGAAAAATGTGGCATAAGATCCAGTGGTTGACAATGGCAGACAAAATATCATTTCTTATCAGTGAGAGCAAAGGAACATTTGCTGTTTGGGGCCTTTTAAGAAAAAAAAAAATCTGCACATGACCTCAAAATAATGCAAATCGCTGGTTTATCCTTTCCTTAAGGATTATGGGAAGTACCAGAAGCTCTGTGTTACCTTTGCACCTGTAATGCTTGGAGCTCTGAACCAAACTGAAGACTATAATTAAACTAAATGTTTTGTCTGGTTATGAGATCAGGACCACACATTTTCTTCCTAGTGCACGATGTACCAAATGAATTCCTGTTTTGTTCCACATCCTACCACACCCCAAGAATCCTGGACTGGTCACACCAAAGACACAGCAGACTAGGACTTAATCCTGTAGGATGATATACACTACTTCCCCTTTTTCCACATTCCTATTTTTCCATTGTGCTTACATTTCTCAGACCTAGATCTTAGCTATGCACTTTGTGTCAGGGATTTTCCCAAAATGAGATTAACAAAGAACACTACCTTAAAAAAAATATTTTTTGGTAGACTGCATATTTTTGTAGCTTGTGTATATACAGATCTCATGTAATTTCTGTTGTCCCTCTGCCTGCAGCATGCAATGGCTTTGTCAAAAGAACCAAAGCATATTTAAGACTAGCCAGGAAAAACCCACCATCATCTGTGAAAAAGTAATAAAGTGTTACTCCTGTGCAAATATTTGCTGATAAAGTTAGTAGGATTTTGCTGTGAAACAGATTCTTACTGAAGATCAGGCCTCTGAACATTCTCCTGGTACAAATTTACTGAACAATGCAAACAGTCCATACAATTCAGGTTCATACAATCATTTAAATCTAGGCACATACATGTAATGCAAATAATTGTCAACTGAATGAACCAGAGGGAAGTGTACTGTTTTTAATAATGTACTGCATTCTTTAACAGCAAAACCTTTTTATTATTAACCTGTCTCATCCAGTGAATTTTAGAAGCTATGCTGTAGGATTAAGTTCACGGTGGATTACACCTCCTCACAACTGGATTAAATCTAGATTTCTGACCAGACAGCTCACTATTAAAATAAAAGCAGCATTGTTTGTTTTCCCTCAGTATTTTGTACACATGAAGTGCTGCTTTTGTAAAGCAAAAGGACAAAATAAATAAATACCTTCTTATTTAACTCTTTTACAAAGAAAAAATAAATATTCTTGAAATGAACATGTACACTCTAGCCAGCGATCTACTTACAAATCTGTACATTCATTGTAAAGATTCTTGTTGAGAGAAATTCCATTTCTGAAAGTGTTGTCTTTGACAGATTTTATGGAGGAGCTGCCACTCAGAAGTCTGGAATGTGGAGAAATGAAGATGTGCTTATTATTTTTCCCCACTGTAGAATGAAGGATAAGATGCCTATGAGTTTTACATGCCTTCCTCTAACGGAGATTCTGAGTACTTTCAGGAAGTTAACATGGAATGTATGGACTCCTTAAATGCTTTCACTTAGTATCTCTCCTAAAGTGTAGGATTTATTTTCAATTGTTTTCAAAGTACTTGTACCACAAAGAATTCAGGGACTCTGTAACCATCAAGATTATGTAAACTAGCAGTACAGGTGGTATTTTCCACATAAAAGCACATAGCCAGGTCTAAATGAAAACTGTGAGGATAAATTAAATATCCTTCCAACTTCTCAAGGTCTGCTAATCAGAAACACAGGATTCTTGAAGGTACATTTGCCCTCGGATTATGAATAGACTTTTGAGACCTACACAGCAAAAGCCAGGACTTATTATACAGGGCATTGTAGAGCTCAGTATTTTTCTTGCTTTTATCCTAGCTCCTGTAACTGATAAGTCTTAATAGCAATTCTCTTCCCATACTTCTTATCCATACAATGTATTACTTGAGAAAACTTTTGTAAAAAAGATTTATGGGAAAAAAGCAATATCCAAACACAACCATTTACTTTTAAAGAGACAAAAGACATGCTTTATGTGAGCAAAGCAATGAATGCCTTCTCTTTCATCCCATATACCCTAACTGCTGCATTCTGATCACGACTACCAAAATCCTTCAGTGAAAGTTTTAGTACTACGGCAATGTCTTCAAACATTTGCAACTGACAATGCTCTTTGTAGGTACAGAAACACCTTAAAAAAAAAAAAAAGGGAAATAATAAAAAGAAAAGGAAATAAGAAAAAGAAAGGAGTTACACCAAGTTAAGAGTAAGGATTCATTATAAGTTACACCAAAGAGGAATAGAAGTTATTATGAATGTATGTATTTACACAATTGTTAAAGTACACAAATACAGTGGTAGTACAAATGAAGTGCTCTGAGATACTGGTTTCCAATACACAGGTTTATATAGATAGTCTAACTATTTTCTGCATAATGGAATTCAACTATTATGAAGGACAAAAATTACCCACGAGTACAATTCTAGAAGTCTGCAGTCAACTTTTAAGTATAGTACAGCAATCTAATGTTCCAGATACAGAGAGAATAAAGAGGCTGCCATTGTAAGTCCCTCGAACAGTACATTATTATCCACAGGTATTTACAAGGAAAGCATAGTCAAGTGTAAAACTGTTCAAATGGTAGTGCACATGCCTAAAATACTGAAGTTTATAGTAACTGAGGAAATAATTCTCTTATGCAAACTTATCCATGGATCAAACTCCTAAGCTTTTCCACTGTATTCTCCCCAAACACAGGTTTCCCCAGTCAGACTCAGAGTATACACAAACAAGTAGCTAATGTTCTGAAAACATCCAAAGAAGAGTGACTAATACTTAATATGTGGACTTGCCCCTTTTGAGAGGGGCAAAAAAGAATTTGTAAATACCAAAACAATAAAAATCACTCTTCATAAAACTCTGAAGACCAATAGGCCTTTAAAAAAATGTTTTCAAGCTGGGAAGAATTTCTCAAAATACCTAACTGTTCATATATGCTTTCATTTTCAACGTGGAGCTTCCCATTACTTCAGTCATTCTAGCATAAACAGTACTTCTGATTCTGTTCCAAGTACTGTGAGGACAGAATACCTACTTTTGTCTTATGAGACCTTTTACAGTAACAAACAATATGAAGAATCTCCCATATTCCATAACCAACAGGTGCTAACACCACCTGCAACAGTTTTTTGGACAACCTAAACATGTCGACTCATTCATTCCTAGCTAATGATTCTGGGCATACTCAAGTTGAATAAAGTTAAGAATTAAATATGGTAGGCACCTGAATTGTATTTCACAGCGAGAATAGGTTGTTTGTTTTTGGTGGTGTTTTTTTTTTTTTTTTTAAAAGAATTCCTTTTTTGAGTCTTGGCATGAAACAGAAGGCCTGAATAAATTTATTTATTTTTAAACATGTAGATGCTGCATGAAATGTGCAAATTCACTGAAGACTCGGTAGCAATGTGTATTTTCCACTTGCAATATCCTCCAAGCTAACCAGCCTCAGAGTGCAGGAAACAAAATTTTACCAATAAAAACAATGTTTGAAATTATCCATTTACCCAAACTAAGCAGAGAGATAAGACAAGCTTGCAAATTCTAAATCTCTCAAATGTCAGAGTCTTTCACTTTGTCTTTCATATTTTTTACAAAAAGAGAAATCCATTATTACCATCTCTACTATACTTAAGACTCTCCTGCAGGGTATTTAGTTCTTCTCTTTTGTGAAAAAGAACAAGTATTAAAAATTCCTTTGTGTTACACGGGAAGTTAAGTGTGAATGAAGACAGCAAACAGCAAAGTAAAATTCTAACAGTTTTAAAAATTTCATGAGAAAACCGTCTTAGTCAGAATGTGACCATACAAATAAGTAAACAGTTTAAATAAAGTCAGATGGTTTTGATTCATTTACATGTTCCCTGCCAGACTAATTTCTTTAAACAAGAAATTTCAAGTCATTGTCTTCAGTTTAGGTTTGTTTATATTCTACATTTTTAAATCAGACAAAAGCAAGAGTTCTTTACAGAGAATTAAGCCAATAATTTTAGCAAAATGATACAAAAAACTTTCTTAAACCAAGTAAAAGATTTACAGTTACAGTAGAATAATAAAAAGGGGGTAAAGTCTGCCGCCTGTGGAGGGAAAACTGAAATGGCCATCTGATAACAGGCGGTCAACTCTGTAAACCATCTTTCTTTTCCAGCCCTGTTACCACAGGGTTCTCTTAAGGTCATTGGGTTTCTGGCAAAAGCGTCCTGTAACAGCAGCTGCTGGAGTCTGTTCATGTTCCTCCAAGTGCCTTTTAAGTCACATGGAGAACTCCAATTGTAATGTTTCCGCTCTAGTTTAGGATATTTTTGCTAGTAAAGCCATTGGTAACATAGGAGATCAGCCATGCATTATCTGCCCTCCATGGCAAAATAATTTTCATCGGTGCACAGCAGACTGGAGAACACTGGTAGTTACCCGAGCAGGAATCTACCAAAGCCAAAAAACAAGACAACATCAGCACATATCCTTCCAGTTAACATACAAGTGGCTCTCAATGTACTTTTAAATAATTAATTGCCAAAAGTAAGTGTGTGAATTTAAAATCCAATGAGCTATACAATGTTTTGCACCCACCTGTAGCTACACGAAGTTCCCTGTATTTTCCTCCTTTATTATAAGTTAACATGGAAAATTCACCTTTCCAGCCAGAGGGAGTGTTTTGAAGAAGAGTAAAGAGAACATAAACATGCACAGAAGAAAGACTACCATGTGTAGAATTAGACTCAATGAATAGTTAAGTTTGGAAAAAAAAAAATCCCAATATGAGGGTAAAAATTTAATTATTTTCAATGGCTTTTCACTCTTCATGGGACATTGTGTTAAAAGATACTTCATTAATTTCCATACCTTGACCTATTTTAGTAACAGTGTAACATTATTTCAATAACACTTTCACTGTGAAAGTGAAAGACGACCACACATCACTGCAATTTAAGAAGCTAGAAATGTCTAAGGAGCTGAATCAGTATTCAGTATTAATTTCAGTTGTAAACAGCTGCAAATAGTAACGCATACAGTAAAAGCCAACCAATGCAGACACAACCCTGAGCAGACCAGAATCTGCACGCCTCCCGCACACAAGCTTTCCAATGCAAAGCTTTATGTTTGCCTTTTTATTATTACTTTTTATTTTTGACTAAGGTCTGGTAATTGGACTTTAAAGTGTTAAGCTGCCATTTACAGTTGAATCGTTTTAGTGTTACAAACTGTTTACAAAGCAGCTTATGCAGAGTCAGCCAAGCACACAAACAGGAGAAAATGGAAGAGGAATAGCAGGATTCTTCACCAACTAGAGATACAGGATTAGTGCAAGCTTAGGCTTGATAGAAAAAGTGAGGCAGCAGACAGAGTTATAAAACAGAATTTACTAGGTAACAGAAAAATCTCACAGCCTTTTTTAAATAGGAAGCAAAGCAAAGAAGCTCCTGAAATACTTAAGAAAGCATCCTTCAGCCATCAAAGTTCAGATTCTGAATAAAACTTACTTCCCTGATGAAACCTGTTATTGCCAAAAGCAGAACAGACTAAAAAGCCAAAAGCTGCGCACAGAAAGGCAGAAACTTCTACTGCACTAGACAGTGGAAAGGAGTTCCAAACACCCAAATACAAGTCTGTCTACCTCCAAGATGCCCACGTTCAAACTATTTTCATTAGTATGCGAACATTTTCAAAATACAGATCTGAATAGATCTGAGTATTTTTAAAATGACAGCTCATAACGAACGGAGAAGAATATAAAACAGTGAAAAATGGATATGGCTGTAGTAGAACATTCCATTCACGACAAGACAGAGCCTCAATTTGAGTAATAGAGTCAATTGAGTCTTCATACAAGTGTTTTGGGTTTATGATTCTGAAGCAGATCTGTTTTTGAATAGGTGACACACTGCTGTATGAACATCCCTGGAAAAACATGTAATTCTCAAATAGCTAAAATTTAGACTTGGTTATTTTATTTTATTGTGATGCTCGAACGGTTTTAGGGACTTTTTCAGTCACTATTTTTGTCAGTCCTGCTTAAGAGTCCAAGTGGAACAGCAGCAATAATTCAACTTTTGGAAGGACATTTACTTTCAATTTAGAGAAAAATAATGCTCCATCAAGCATCTGACCAGAAGGCACAGGTACAACTATGAGTTAATGTGAGGAGAAGAAGCAAAGTTGGATGTTTCTGAAGACTTTTTTTCCCCACCCCATCCAAAGTTTTGGTGTCTAATGAGAAGCACTCACCCAGTGCTGCCTTCCAACGAAAGGAGACGAGCAGCTACTTGCCATGGTGTTCGAAAGGAATGCTATTCTGAGGTAGGGGAAAAGACAGCAATTTGTAACAGTTCCACTGTCCCAATATATAAAGATGTCTAACAAATATCCAGCCTAAACTTGCAGTAGCAAATGTATCTTTTGAGGAGCTCCGATTTTAGACTTCGATAAGACATTTCTATCATGTTAAGAGATAAGTAAAAGGAACAAATCATTATTCCTCAAAGAAAGCTGACAGGGTCAGAAGAACAACGCAGACTATGATGCCTATTAGGATGGATATATGGTGAAAGATTTGCTCATGAGGAGATGGAAAATGCAGAGGCATTGGAAGTATGTTGCTTCTTCCCTAGGGAGGCAGCACAACACTGAAGTTTTTCAATGCCAGTGCTGCCTACAGTCTTCTACAAACTGCTCCTGTCAAAGTGACTTAAACAAACATTTCTTTGTGCAGTATTCCAATCTTTTTTCCCAGCTACAGAGAGAATACCTCCATTACCAGTAGGAATTATGCACAGCTTTTGACTGTTGGGGTGCTGAACATGCTACATTCATTAAAAAAAGAAAAACTTACTGTATACCATAAGCAGTCAGATCGAACCTTCTGTGAAAGCAAATGAAGGCTACTCACCCATAACTAGACTCTTGAGATGATCACTGCTTTCGGGATGCAGTCTGTGCAATGTGGACCAACAGAACTCATTCAAAGTAGTGTTTACTAGAATGCTTATGATCTCCTTTACTATGCTTCTTAATGTTTAAGGACTGACTACGTCAAGGAGACTTGGTGAACAATTCACTCATAGAGGTTAAAAGCAGAAGGATCTTTTAACAGCTGGTGTGATTTTCTGTCCAGCACAGATCACAACTCATCAGTGCACAGAGATCTGCAGTTTACTCTTGCTTTAAACCTGAACAGACCACCTAGAAATGAATCCAGTTTTGATGCAAAGGCAAAGGGGACAGATGATCTACCTCTTTTAGAAGTTGCTTCAGTGGCTAACTGCCTTCCCTTAGACCTCTGTTTTGCTCTTTTTTTTTTAAATGTGAGTGGTTTTAATTTTAAGCAATAGGTTCTTCACCTATGTTTTCTGCACAAATGCCAGTTCCTGTTAAAATAATTGTCTCTAAAATACTACATCAACTAACTCAAGATGACCTCTTACCTTTCAGACAAACTGAAAGACACTGATTTTAAATTCACAGAATCACAGAATCACTAGGTTGGAAAGGACCTTCAAGATCATCAAGTCCAACCATTGATCCAGCGCCACCATGTTCCCTAAACCATGTCCTGAAGTGCCACATCCACATGTTTTTTGAACACTTCCAGAGATGGTGACTCCACCACCTCCCCGGGCAGCCTGTTCCAATGCCTGACCACTCTCTCAGTGAAGAAATTTTTCCTAATATCCAATCTAAACCTCCCCTGGTGCAACTTGAGGCCATTTCCTCTTGTCCTATCACTGGTTACTTGGGAGAAGGGGCCAACACCCTCATCGCCACAACCCCTTTAGTTGTAGAGAGCGATAAGGTCTCCCCTCAGCCTCCTCTTCTCCAGACTAAACAACCCCAGTTCCCTCAGCCGCTCCTCATAAGACTTGCGCTCCAGGCCCCTCACCAGCTTCGTTGCCCTTCTCTGGACACGCTCCAGCACCTCAGCATCCTTCTTGTAGTGAGGGGCCCAAAACTGAAGACAGTATGCAAGCTGCGGCCTCACCAGTGCCGAGTACAGGGGCACGATCACTTCCCTACTCCTGCTGGCCACACTATTTCTGATACAGGCCAGGATGCTGTTGGCCTTCTTGGCCACCTGGACACACTGCTGGCTCATATTCAGCTGGCTGTCAACCAGCACTGCAATTCTTGCATTGTATAATCTGTTTTACCAAGCTCGATTTTTATGGCTCTTCTTTGTGTTAAAGTTTTCCCAACAATTTAAGATACTGAGAACTGAACTAGCATAATATTCCAGCATCTGTCTCATTAATGACATGAAATAACCTCTCAATTTCTGTTCATTACTGTATCATGAAATTATGCCCTTTCATTATGACATCACACTAACCTCTCCAACGTTACACCTAAAGCCTCCTCAGTCATTGCTTACCATATAGTTTCCACATAAGACAATGGGCTCCACTCCACCGTAATCATGTAATACGCATTTTATTTGAAAAGGCTTTACCTGACTGCTCAACGCTTACTGATGTTTATCGCTGTCAAACATCTCACAACTTGCAGGTTTTTAGCTGTTGCATTCACTTCCATATAATCGAGAAAAGTACAAAATAACGCGTGCCATAGAAATTACATAATTTCATCAGAAACACTTGTTTCACGAACTATTTCACAGACGTGCTAGTTGTTACTCCAATAAACACTCGCCACTGTGTGTTACAAAGTGCCAGTCTCTCTAATCAGAATGATTTAGGTAATATGTGGACAATACCTTGGAGGTGGGAAATATAAGTGACACCTATTTTGTTATCCTTACCAAATACCATTTTTCCATGAAATTTCTCTGAGAAGACCTATTATTTGTATTATCTACATTCCCAGCCTTAAGTTTTCAGTTTCAGTCTGAACTGATCAGAACTCATTTTGGAAAAAAGAAAGATAAAAATGTGAAGTCATCTTTAAGAACTCTACTTAAAGATAAGTAGTTTTCATTATTTCTTTGAGTAACCTCTGCATATTTCCATTGCCCAGAGTTTAACAAGCAATAGCCCCTCCTCTACATTATGAGGTGGAAATTACAGATGCAGCGTTGCCATACCAAACCAAGGCCCTCCCCCCAACCACAAAACAACCCACCAACAACTCCCCCCAATTTATCAAGTTACAAATAACAGCTCTAATAAATGTCGTTCTTAACATAAGACATCTGTAGATCTGCATAACAAACTTTAAAAGCTGCTTTTTCCGAGGAGCACAGTCTAACCATTTCCTGAAAAAGGAACAGTGGTAGCATGTTTACTTAAGACTTACAAAGGAAACTATCACACTTGGAAAGGACAAACAGTTGTTGTTCCTACTGTATCTCCTGTTAAAAAGTGGTATGGATGATTTTCTATATTCTTAGACCTAGCCAATCAAAATTCTCCTCAATAAACCTTGCCATGTGAATTGGGTGCTTTATATCTAGTTCTTAGTCAGGAAAATCTAAAGGTAATGGAAAAGTAATGGCTTAATTGGTAATCTGGTTAACATCTAAGGATAAATTTTCATTATGGAAGAACTACGTTGATGTTATGAAGATAGCAAGAGTGTAAGCTATGAAAACTTGCAATTTGAGCCACCTTGCCTGCTACGGAATAAGCGAGAACTGGGAAAATGAAAAGCAAATTTTTCTAACGAGCTCAAGGGGTAGTGTTATAAGGTAAAGTCTTAAGTATCTCTCCTGGTTTCCAAATCTGAGAGGCCAATCGGAAGCTGTTTAAATTATACTACAGTTGCACACTGTTATTCAGTCACTATGAGTGGAGACCAGCAGTGGTTCACTGCCTTGGTAAGAACTAAATGAAGACAACAGATGATGAATTATTAATTCTAACAAACTCAGAGAAGATCCCAACTAGGCTGCTATTGGGATTTTAAAGAAGTCAACCAAGTGATCCCATACTTACAGCAAAGTGTTAAAAAGGATGGGTATGGAAATGTGCCATTAAGCCAGACTGTACTGTTGGCCCATACCACAAATTATACACCCGGGTATTCAAAACAACCCACACTTCTACACAGTCTCAGAGCATTCCCATTTTACAGGTTAGGCAGAACCAAAATGAATCTGCAAACCCACCTGGATTACTTGTACCTTACAACGTTTAGAAAAGTGTCAAGCACACATCGAGCTACACGTCAGTAATACAGCAAAAAAGATATACTCTCTCTTAACATAATCAAGTAACGTCACTGCACTTATTTCTGTTACTCCCATTATTTATCTGACTGGTAAGAGAGACAAAGCATCTGAAATTTGCTCAGAATGCCAGACACAAACTCTAGGCATACACACTTTACCAGGAAACCATCTTTACATTTGAGTAAACATTCGGAGGGAACTTGGTGTCACAGCTCACAGAACAGCCAAGGTCAGAAGGGACCCCTGGAGATCATCTAGTCCAATCCCACTACCCAAAGCACAGTCAACCAGAGTGGGCCGCTCAGGAATATGTTCAATTAGGTTCCAAGTAATTTGGAAGAGGGAGACTCTGCAACCTCTTACGGCAACCTGTTCCAGTCCCTGCTCGCCCTCTTAGTAAAGAAGATTTTTCTTATGTCTAAATGGAATTTCATATATTTCAATTTGCGCCCACTGTCTGTTGTCCATTCACTGGGTATTGCTGAGAAGAGTCTTGCGGCACCTTCTTTACATCCTTCTATTAGGTGTTTATGCATATTTACAAGATCTGTAACTATGCGCAGTTCTACCCTCTTTATTTTCATACTGTTTACAAACTTCAGCCATAAAATATTTCACTTGAGAATTTCTGGTGGCAAGAATTGTAATTCAGTGAACAATTTAAGCTGGCAAAAATCGCCACCAAAGCCAACACAGAAAACCTCACCTATCTCCCATTCTTATCCAGTCATTTCTGTTCCTGAACCGTTCATCCCTTGTGCAAGGACAAACATCTGTGCAGCTATATGGTGAAACAATTCATTCAGCTGAAAACCAACCCCAAAAATGCCACTTCACTTTTGCTACGGCAGCATTTTTTCTCCAATGCAGTTCACCCTCAGCCTTCATTAGGGATACCCACCTGGTCTCCATCAAAAAGAGCGTTCCCTCTAGCAGTAAGATTTTATATGTAGGAACACACGCTATCCAAAATAATTCTGCCAATGAAATGATGAAGCCAAAAGGAATTGAGTTAATTTTTATCAATATGCTCCATCAACAAGGAATAAAATGAGTCAATGGCAGAAATTAGGCAGTTAGAACTCCAGCACAGTGTTGAGGCGTAATGGAAAAACCCCTAGGCGACTGTACCAGTCCTCATAACAGACTGCGCTCCCAGTAATGTTACAATATGTCTACAGTACAAGTGATTCCCCATTCTGTAGGTAAGACTGAAAGTAAGCTCTACAAAGCCAGGCCACACACTACTTAGAACAAATCTGTGTGAATACCCTGAAAAAGGAATGTTTCAGCTATAGCATAAAGAGTTAAAAACATATTTAAACATGGTTTGTCAGTCTTAAAAAGAAGCATTGCTAAAAACTCTTTGCTAAGTCACCATGACCAATGAGGATGATTTCAGTGCTGACTATGGCTATGAATCACTTTGTCTATCATTTATCTTCCTGCCATCCTGTTCAAATGAGCCTTCTGTGACCTACCCATCATCATGTATGTGGCTTCTTATCTGCTCTGAATTACAGTACTGCAGTACAACATTTCTACACTTTTGTACTTTTCTGTTCCTCACCAACTATTTCTTGTCTATTCTGCACGTATATTCTCTGCTCTGTTGATTTGGAAACATGACTCACAACTGCCTCTAACTTACTCTGCTTCCTCACTGATAAGAGATGTAAGAAATTCAATGAACAAAGGAGCTAAACACAGTAATTGTAGGTAAAAATCATGTGTATCTACAATGTTGCATCATCTCATACACCAATGACTCCGTATTACTTTGAGTATTTTACGCTTATTGCTGCCGAGGTAAAAAAAAACAACAAAAAAATTCTTTACAGTAGTCTACAGGCATATTGCAAACTTTCAGTTAAAACGTCAAGTATTTATATGAGTCAACATCATCTGCAAAATCAGTATGAAATCACATCAATTAGCTGGTATGTTCTTTTGGCAAATGAACTTTATCAAATCACCCTCATTTTTCCATTATACAGAAATTTTTTTTACCTGCGAAGTTGACATGCGAGAGGTATCTTGTCGGCCCGTTAAGTCAGATGACGAGATATTGACTGGGGCACCGCGATGCAATCTCATACTCACTTTCCTTTCTCGTTCCATACCAGATACTGGCCGAGGAGAGGTGTTGGCTGTGAGAAAAACTGCATTAGATTTCCGTAACAAGAAATGGGATTATAACATGGTCACTGGAAAAATTACACTCTCGCTGTCTGCATATAAAACTTCCACAGAGTCAAACAAAAAAAATCGAGGCCTTTGCATCACATTCACAGAAATCTAAATAGCAACTGGCAGGTAATGAGCATATACAATTACCTTCAATCTACAGAAAAGCAAGGCGGAGACAAAATAAACAAAGAACTCAAACCCTGACCAGACACAAATAGCACTTAGGTATCCTAACTCTAATTTCGAATTTCCAATGACCAGGAACAAACTGCAAATTAGAGTAGTCTACAAGGCGTAGGTATTTGCTGACTTACCAGCATGTGAAGTTGGGGTAAGAGGAGTAGGAGGAGCTACATCTTGCGTTCCTCTCAGCCTGCCAGAAGCAGTGGAGGGTAATCCACGCACAGCCGGATTTCGTGTATGTCTCAATCTTTCCTCTCGTTCTCGCCTTTCACGTTCAGCATCTTCAGCTGCTCTGCTTGCACCCTACAGATCAAGACTAGTGAGCAACTCGGGGGGATTGTTAAGCTTACAACTCTATATTTTGATAAAAATACTGCAAATAAAGAACTGGACAATCTGTGAATTGAAGTTTGCTAGGGCATTAATTATTTTGGTGAAATTTCTGGAGAACTGCCATAAATTTTGTTCATACAACTGCTGGGATAGTCTTTAAAATGCTAATGTACGCATATACTGTTATGGCAGCTGGACATGTCCTCAACAGTTGCAAGAGACCTGTGCTGAAGATCAAGGTGGGGAAAAAATAATAATGCCACAATCTAGCCTGGTGACTGCTCTGGAGAACGTATCTCAGAGGCCTTGCACATTTAAAACTCTGTAACTTCAACTTAGTTGTCATTCAACCCCCCTCTCATGGCTCCTTTATCTCCTGCCTTTCCTCATTTCCTGTTTTTTTTAAAGACAATATTGCTTCCAGGAGGAAAAAGACAGAGACAATCTTACAGTATCAGTTAAGATACTCAAAACTGACAATGTAGTAAAAAACACCATTACCAAAAAAAAAAAAAAAGAAAAAAAAAGAAAAAAAAAAAGAAAGTTTTAGAAAGCTATGTCAGCTACTCACAAATTTCAGCATGTTCCAGTCAAACACATAGTCATACGAGAACCCTTGCCGGTGGAAGAGGTTTCTGAATAATTGCCTTAAATAGGAATAGTCCGGTTTGTCATCAAAACGCAGAGAACGGCAGAAATTCAAGTATGTGGCAAATTCAGCTGTAATAAAAGAAAGCCTGTTTTCCTCCTTCAGCTTCATGTTTGCTTTTTATAATTCCAAATCACACACAAAAGAAACCCCCAAAAAACAACCACACCAGACTCAACAAATAGGGAATCTCCTAAATGTGAGAAAAAGAATAATGACCTAATACTAGAAATCTACCGAAGGCAACTCTATAGCCCATCTATCAAGTGAACCCTGAAAAGGAAATTATTTGTCTCTCACAGAGTATGCAAAGATGTCATTTGTCAACAGCAGAGAGGACCCACATTAGAGTTCTTTAACCAACAGTTTGAGGGGTGGGGGACACACAGGCAGGTTTAAAACTACAGTTGAGCCAAGAAAAGAGTTTTTTTTGCCTTTGCTTTGAATGTATTTAAATGGGACACAGAATAGCATCTCTGCTGTTCAGCGACATAAAGCATCATGTCTGCTATCTCACAAAACACGCAAAAACTAAAGGACCCATATAAATTTCCCATGTAAGTCATGCTACAATTTTAGATTTCCAGTAGTCTGAACACCTGTTTTTATATGGCAGATGAAATACTAGTTACACAGCAAAAAAATCAATGTTGTTGCGAATTCAATGTGCCAGAGGCAACACCAGTATCAAAATACCAGCTTTGGAGTTCAAGTCTTTCCGGCTGAAATATTGTATTAATAATTTTCATTAAGAAAGAAATTCTAACAAACAGCATAAGAAAAGTTGATTAGTCTTCCCTGTTAACCCCAGAGGAAGAAACACAGTTAATGAATGTAAAGGAACATCAAGCGACATTTGAAACAGATCGACAACAGTAAGTTTTCATACAACCCTAACAAAACTATATTTCTCATTATTGTACCTAGCTGCCGAAGCCAAGAGTGCGGAAAGAATAGACACAGAACTCTTCACGAAATATCAACAATATTCTCTGATGGCAGCTAATGTTAACAAGCTTTGAAACAGATTTAAGTATAATTTTTCAGGGCTTAAAAATGCCTAGTTATTACTGTGGTGTAAATACCAAATTGAGAAACAGAACAGCTTTCAGGCATGATGCTAGGATATAGGAGAGTGTCTTATGCCTCTCACAGATGCTGACTGACCATCAACAGGCCAAACTAGATGAACTTGGAATGACAATTCCCAAGTGAAACAACTGCAATAGGTAACAGGTGCATCTGACTATACAATCCAATTAATCCAAGAAACAGTACCCACACGCATGAAGAACCGGGTAGTTTCTCAAAAAGCTATTTGTAAGTTATCCAGCCAGCATAAGATGCATGCACACACAATACAGTGCAAATCGGACGTACCAAGCTACCCTTCGTCTCGAGGGCACCACAATGATTGTTTACTAATAGTTAAGACAAGGGATAATTAGAAATGGTCTACGATCACAAAGATCCTACTCTGGAAACCACAGTATCTTTATCACAGATATGCCCAAACATGGAGTGGGGTGGGAGGGGGGAAAAAAAAAAAAGAAAAAGAAAAGAGAGAAGTAAAAAAGACTGGTAGAATTCAGTGTAAAGAAAAAAAGAAATACCGCCAAAATGTGAACATGTAGGCCTAGTGCCACAAAAGTGTAACTTACAAGGATATCCTTTACACAAAACCTCAATGGGTGTAGACATTTTCTTTTCACTGATACGTTCGTATTTCTGCCTCTTTGTTGCTGCTTTCAGTCCCTGCCAGGGGAGGGAGCCCAGGTTAAAATACATCAGTACATAGCCCAAGGACTCCAAGTCATCTCTGCGAGATTGCTCTACAACAGCATAAAAAAGTGGACTCATTAGGTTTCGTTTTCTACTGGAAAACAAAAGACTGTGCAACAAGACCGTCATAAAAATCTTTAGAAAAACAAGGATAGCTGAGAGTTACTATGCCCATGATAAACTCATCTGGTACAAGAAAAAGCCTATCACCCTTGCAGTTACTAAAAAAATGTACTAATTCCTGAGAATTACAAACTGACCGAATCCCACCCGATCAACTGATATAAGGTCAAGCATGCTGCACTGTTCATGCCAGAAGTAGGGACTGTCTTCTGTGTCTCCATAAAGCAACATCTACTTGTGCTAAAATTATGTGCATCAACACTTTAAAAGTTCTGTTTACTGCTTTCCCCCCTCTCACCAATTCCAAGATGAGTGTTGATGGATGCGTAACGAGCAGTTCCTGTTAAGTTTTTATTTTCACGATATGGAATATGTTGGTGTGTTCGAGCATCTCGATACTTCTTTGCTAATCCAAAGTCTATTATGTAGACAAGATTGCCTTTCTTCCCCAGGCCCATTAAGAAGTTATCTGGCTTCACGTCTCGGTGGATGAAGTTCTTAGAGTGAATATATTCAATTCGACTAATCTAAATACAGAGAAAAAAAAAAATCGTTGAGACACGGGGCATATACCTCCTTTCTTATAAAAACACTAGCTACACTGTCTTAATAATAAAAGAGGTAAAGAACCTTTTTATTATAAAATGTAAGGGCATTAAAGGGAGCATAACTTAGAAATAAATAGAAAAACCTTCCCTGTGTCTATTTTACATTTGTTTCCAAAAACTTTCTTGCGGGAATTTCTTTGTCTTTGAGCAGTACAATACCTGGTTTACAAAGAGCACAGGTCCAGTTTTTAAAAATCAAATTAAGACTTTGTAATCACTTTTGATGGGACACTTCATATTTACAGAAACAAGACTAATTCTGAGTCTTATCTTTAATGATACAGCCTATTAACCTCTAAATTACAGCAATAAAACACAGTTGGTTATGATCTCTCAAATTTTAACATCACAACATACTGCACTATCAAGATCAACAAAGCCGTTTCCTACCATTTGGTCAGCAAGTAATAGGACTGTCTTGAGACTAAATTTCCTTGAACAAAAATTGAAGAGATCTTCAAGACTCGGTCCTAGCAGCTCCATCACCATTACATTGTAGTCCCCTTCAGCTCCACACCACTTAATTGTAGGAATACCCACTAGAATAAAAGAAACAGTTTGTTCAGCGTAACAATTTGATTTATAGAGTTCATACACAAATCTTCAATGCTCTCAAGATGAATTCTAAGAGGGTCATTACTGTGAATGTTCGTATTCACAGTGAAGCTTAGTATTTTATGCTACCTTCAGCCATTCCAAAATGAAAAGTTTGATAATTTCACAGCAGAATCAATATAAAATTATAGAAACTGAGGTCTAAAAATAGCCTTCTTCCTCTTCCCCAGAAACCTCCCAGTCTTTGTGCTTAGCTTGTAACTTGAGAGTATTTAGTGTTTTTCCTGGATTTGAACTGTAAGCATTTTACAAGTATTAATACTCATCTAGTCTCCAAGATGGCAATAAGGAGCAAATTGGAAGTCTGAAAATAAAGACACTGACAAACCACTAAATATTATTACTAAAGAAGGCCTTAGAAATTTATTAGTTTCAAAGCATACAAGATCACTGTAAAACACCCCTCTCTTCCATTTCAATTTGCAATGAATTTTTACCCTTGCTTCATACTCTTTTCTTTCCTCCAGTTCCACTGTATTTGCTGTTTGGTGAATCTCTACCAAAAGTAGCATTGTTCAGGAGACACATTACACATTCAGCTTTAAGAGAGCTAAAATTAGCTCCACTTTATGGAGAAACTCAGGAAAGTTATTTCACACAAAACTGCAGAATTGCTCAAATATTATGAATTAAACCTGTACGTAGATAGCCTTATTCAGAATTTCAAATGCCTTTACTTTGAGTTGATTTCATGCATTTTGCAAGTGAAATGGTATAATTCACCCATTTTACACTCTTAGCTTTACTTGATATGCATGATTTTTTTCTGAATTCCCTTCACAGAGAAACCCAGATGGAAACTTAACCTTCTGCCACCTGCCTCCGCAGCATCCATCCTCAGAAGGAACCCACCATCACGGCCTTAGTAAGCCCATAAAGTAAGCATTTTACTCTATGAAGGCTAGTCATGTTACACGCAGGTGGCAACTGACTGAGGCAGGAATTAAAAAGTAACAATACAAATACACATTAACATCCATTTCTAGATGTATGATTATTGTATTTTGCATTTGAGATACAGTGTGAAATGTAGTCCTTATGCAAAGTATAGCCTCATTTATGAAGAATTCAAGGGACTATGAAGCAAAAGCAAAACTTAACTACACCGACTTTATGTCCCAGAACCGCATAGGAATCTTACATTTGCAGAATTTCAAAACATATGAGTGAGTTATCCTAGTAGAGTACGAAGCAGTAGCTACGAAGTTGCTTCACTCCTGTTCTCTACTACTAATGCCATTTTGTCTTAGAATTCCTACAGCAAGGAAATATTTTTAACTCAGAAGAAAGAATACTAACGTATGTAACAAAAAATTAATCTGAATTTACTAAGCTTAGAATTGTGGTGCTGTAACAAGCAAGTCATGTTAAACGCTCCAGAACAGTGGTTACCATCTTTCACTGACCCATAAGAAACAAAAGTCAATGACTGTACCGCCAGATGGAACCAAACTTTGTTCCACATGGCTCAAGGTTTTCACATTTTAATATTCTGGGACCGTGCGCAACATTAGAGGATGTTAGTGGTCATCGTGAAGTTTGGTAGCCGTGGATTTGGAAGTGCTACTCTACATCACTCACCGAAGAGCTGAGGTAATGGTTCACCTACCCTGCCACCTTTCCCACCTTCTCCTTGTATGTCAAAAGAGATCTTAACCATTAAATACTTCCAGGTGGCAGATATATCAAAGACATAAACCCAGTTAAATCTCCGAAGAAGGAAAATAACTTGCTTGCCTCCACCCTGCATCATTTTGTAGATTTTACTCTCGATGTGGAGCTGAGGATGTTTGGTTTTCACACATTCCAACTTAATTGCAACCTCCTCTCCGGCCGCAATATCAGTTCCTAAAACCAGAAGAATTTAAAACATTGGTCAAAATATTCTTTAAGATGCATTTCCTTTGTCAAGACTGAAACAAAACAAATATTGACAAACTACTTCTCAGTGGCAAACATTCAAAGATTATTAAGTACTTTCAGCCATGATTATCTAAAAATTCTTCTGGAGTCCTACAGATTCTTGCCAACAGACTAGCAGCTTAAGAGACAACTATTAGACACCATAGCACAGGAAGTCAAAACTGCTGCTACCCCATTAAAAAAAAAAAAAAAAATTACCAGTGCATCTTCTGAGGGGTGTCCTTCCAGCTCCAGTTTGTGGTGGAAGTACTCAGAATGAATGTTTACAGGTGTGGCATGTATCCCTGCCAACCTATGAAATGCTAGGAATTCAGATCACCTCCTCTTATGCCTTGGAAACAGAGACTATAACTTCCCTAAATCTCAACATACTCCAGATGTGTTCTGACACCTTATTATTTTATCCAGTTGGAAGGCAGATTATCTAGAATCAAGAATTTGTCCTGTCAAAAAACTTTTAAATAATCTCATTGAATTCTTGTTTCAGCAATCAAGTGACTGGAAAATTGGCTTACCTGCTCACCTTCAAAGTTTAAACGTGTAGGG